GAGCTCAAGGTCGAAGGCTTTTGGCTTCAGAGTCTGTCACCCAATCAGACTCAGACAAATGGAGCCCCTCTCACCTCCTGTGACAGTCATTTGACCCCCTCACCCCTTGATTGTGCACATAAAAGGTGTTTGTGCCCTGCTCCATTGTCTGACTGCGAGTACCAGCAGGATTTACATCTCTATGGTGGAAAAGCTTTGATCACCTCTCAGCTGGCGCCTCAAAACTCTATAAATACACCACACATGTACACACGCACATCAGCCCTACACCTACAGTCATGACTTTCTTTCTTTCAAGTAAAATCGCTGCACAGCCTCAAGTAGCAACATGATAAAAGACACCAATCTTTATTAAATAGCCTAGTTAAATGTGTTAATACTAATAATCAAAATAATTCTTCTGCAGTTTAGTTCATTAGTTTAAATTTTGGCGGTTCAACTTGGCACAGGTGTGCATTAATTAGCAATTTACAGCGGCTTTGAAAGTGGTTTATTCAGTGAGTAATTAGAGTCAGATTTTGTAATGAGAAATAACTTGTAGCTCTTATTAGATAAAATGTTTATGGTTTGAAGAGCTGATGCTAATTTTGTCCAATGGTGCTTAGATAGATCATAGCGTTTTGGTTTTCACCCACTGTTTGTTTTATTTTTTTGCACTGTAGTCTACACAAATGATATAAACCCCTATAATTAATGGATTTAGCATAGCTTCAGTTCATATATTACTAATTACTGTTTTCTTTTCTCTCTCTGTTTTTGTTTATCTCTGCACAGGTATGCTATACATTGTGGGCTCCTGTCAGAATATGAATCTATTCAGAATAAAATAAAAAATGGTTATCTTTTTAAGGTGAGTGTGCATGTGTGTTCTTTATGCAATGTTCACATGTTTCAAATGTTTTGATAGGATGGCAAATGTGTAGACAAATAGCTTAATTGCTCCATTGTAGAATATTACACTTAAAAATAATTCAATCCCATTAAAAATAATTAAAATATATCAAATACATAATTTTTTTCTGTTTATATGAAATCCAGCCTGTCTAAAGCTCAAATGCAGACAGCAGAATATTGGAACCGTTCAGATGTACTGTTTACAGCTGAGCTCATGTCAACATAGGAAGTAGTTACTTCCAGTTACTTCCTCTTTTAATTACTTCCAGATGCTCCCAGTTACAAATCTGACCCTTAATTATTTACACATTTATTCCTGTGCTTCATGTAGAGAAGAGTTTAAGGGCAGATACAGTGATCTCAGCATAAGGTCGTTTCAGTTGATTTCAGTGGTTGTATGTGTTAGTGGGAGCATAGCATAAGCTTCTGTGAGAGTCAGTAGGGCTGGGTAAAAAATATCGATATCTCGATATTAATCGATTCTCATTTTTACGGAACGATATCTATTCTTAAATCCCAAGAATCGGTTAGTCTAGCCTGTTTTTCAGTTAATGGACGGAACATTGAAGGGCATTTCCCATCCAATATATCGCAATAAGCATTGTGCTTTGGTACTTTTAATATGAAACAAAGTCTCAGATTTCAAATTCTGTCCATTGTATTGCAGTATTCAAACAATAAATGCCGTTTTGGCGCTGTTTAATGTGGAGTGACAGATCGCTGTAGCGCCTCAGTTCAACAGCGTATCCTGTCTCATATAATCGCTCAATCAGTGTTTCATCCACGCAAAGACGTCAATATAACGTATATTCACGTACGTCACGTAACGTCACATTTAGGGGAGACCGGGTATGGTTGTAACATGGGTAGAGTTGTAACACCCCCAGTTTCACCAATCAGGGATAAGATAGGAGTCACATGATCATTTCAGTGTGTACCCACTTCCTCCCAGATCCACACGGATGGTTATCAAGGCTGGAAATAGGCATATGACATATAACTTATATAACATATAAGTTAAATGAAATTACATTTTTAAAATGTTAAGTTAACTTAAACCATTTGTGTTGGGCTACATGAATCATTTACGTTGCATTGACTGAAACTGGGCAGTGGATTTCTAGTTCCCAGCATGCTTTTCATAGGGATAGATCAGGAGAGTAAATGTTGAAATTAAGTGCTGTTTAATGTGTTTTTTAGTAAAGGGAAAGACCTATTAAAGTGTGTTGTTCAGTTATATTTGACATTTAAAAGAGTTTATGTCGATTTTTGAGGTTACCATTACGCTGAAGTGTAGACCTTGTGGTTAGGCTATGGCTACATGACCTCAGACGATGACAACTTTTGTGTTGTCTGTATGGAGCCATTTTCCAACACAAAGCCAATGGAAGTGTGGGTAAAATGTGCTCTATGCAGTCTCTGGGCCCACCAATCCTGCACTCCAGGATTAACTGACTCTGATTAAATTGACTCTGATTGAGAATTCAGACATAGATGCACAAATGTGCACACATTAGTGTTAAAAATAAATATGTAAAAATGTAAAAATAAATAAATAATGCCGTTAAGCAAGTTTGTTCTAGTAGAGTAATTTACACACACATGCTCACACTCGTGAGTTAGCCAGAAAGTGTAAGGGCAGATACAGTGATCTCAGCATAAGGTCGTTTCAGTTGATTTCAGTGGTTGTATGTGTTAGTGGGAGCATAGCATAAGCTTCTGTGAGAGTCAGTAGGGCTGGGTAAAAAATATCGATATCTCGATATTAATCGATTCTCATTTTTACGGAACGATATCTATTCTTAAATCCCAAGAATCGGTTAGTCTAGCCTGTTTTTCAGTTAATGGACGGAACATTGAAGGGCATTTCCCATCCAATATATCGCAATAAGCATTGTGCTTTGGTACTTTAATATGAAACAAAGTCTCAGATTTCAAATTCTGTCCATTGTATTGCAATATTCAAACAATAAATGCCGTTTTGGCGGTTTAATGTAGAGGGACAGATCGCTGTAGCGCCTCAGTTCAACAGAACAGAACAGAGGCGCACGTGAGCTGATCATCTCCTCCACATTAATACCAGTTTCAGCACAAAATAAACATGACTAAACATCTGAA